GAGGCAAATGCGCGCCCAGCAAGATGGGAGAGAGAAGAAGAGGGAGCTAAGACTGAGGGCTTGTGATTCCACCGGAGGTGCAAAGTTTACGAATGAATGACTCAACTGGAAACATCATGAAGACAACAGCAAGTTTCTGAGAATTTATGGAGCCAGTTTCTACACAAAACCTCTTATAGACAATCCCAGAGAATTACTTGGAAAAGGAAGGAAAGACCCACAGCCAGTAGAACACAGCTGTCTGGAGGATTCAATCAGACACTGGATTCACCATTGGTCACTTCAGAACAACTAAATAATGGTCAGGACAGGTAACAAGGAATATGAACCAACTATGCTTCATTCTACAGGTGCCAACACTTAAAGGTATAAGCTAGAAGCACAGAGCCAGTACCTGGAGAAATGGTATTTAAATTGTGGTTTGAAATATCTAAGAAAATATCTTTGTTTTGTTTTGAAGATTTAAAAACAAAAGAATTACTAAGAGTTTAGCAATAGTACATGAATAGAATTAGGTCTTAGAGCGAGTGTCAGCAAATAGAGTGGAAGGAAATGTATCTATCTCAAGCTCCAAACCACCTGGCAAAAGGAGGCAAAAATACTTCTAATTAAAAGAAGAATAAAATACAATACAAAAAACGGGGCACTTTTCATCAAATTATCAATGGAAGAAGCATTTACCATCAAGCACTGGTTCCTAAACTCAAGCTATCTAACTGGTCTGAGGCGTGAGACATCCAGAGTTCTGCTAAGGTACTTGATTATAAAAGAAAAGTAAGAATCTGAGGTTACCAAGAAGCACTGAGGACAGACAAGACTGACACCAAGCTCAAATCCTGGCAGTCAATACAGAAAGAAACTGAGGTACTGGTGAGGGCCTGGAAGCAGTGAGCATCAGTCAGTTCCAAGCTGCGCCTCTGGATGGAGAGGGAGAGGTTGCAGCAGAATGTCAGTGCTTCTCATGATCCTGAGATCCCTTTATACATCCTCCAAGCTAACAGGGGCTCATGTTGACCAGGAGACTCGATCCTGACTGTTGTCTCCAAGTTCTTTGGTATGAAATGGCCACCCAGGGGCTGCTGGCCTTGTCCACCAGAATCAGGGTACCACAAGTGAAGCACAAGTATAAACTGAGAAGGAGCAAGGCCACATGTGCTCTCACGTGACATTTCCAGAGACCACCACCAGTATCTGCTCACAATCCAGGAGCACAACATAAGTAATCAGTGGCTTGGGAAGACCCACCCATGTAAGAGTTGTATAGTGGACAGCAATGCAATGATAAAAAATGACTTCACAACCAATCCCAACTTAACCACCAGAGGAGAGAGACTCAGCTTCCTCTTATCTTCCTTTGGGAGCTCCAGAACAGGCACAAATAGGATTAGTGCCAAGTTACTCTCTTGTATCTGTGCTCCTTCTAAATCCTGGCACTTCCAAAGTGAAAATAATACAGAAGGACTTTCAATCACATCACTCAGTTTGAGCAGCTCACTCATCTAACATAATAAAGGATAAGAGTCAAGTGAGCAGAAGCAAATCTCTGTGGTTCAAGCAGTTTGGGTTATTTTTTAAATGTTTTCCCAGAAGCCTTAGCACAAAGAGCATCTTTCCCTTCCCCTGCCCAGTAACACAACTGGACAGAGCACAGAATGGCTGACAATCCAAAATAAAGGTCAGATCGAGAAGAGGAAGAACTGGAGGGGAGACTGAAGTACATGAAATAGTAGTTAAAGGGAACAAAGGTCGTACGTGAAAAAAACAGGCTTGAAGTAGCAGACCTTCCATCCATTCCCTTCTGAGTCGTGTAACAGGTATAAATATTACTTATTCAGAACATAAGCATAAAGTGTGGAGTAAAATGAAATCGAGTAACAGTCATGTGAATGTACCATTACCTGAGCATAAAAATGTACCCATTCCTTGGGTAGCAGAAGAGAGGGCTGAGGACATAACCAGTACGTAAAAACAATGTAAAGACATTAAAGAACCACAGGAAAAGATGATGACACGCTAGATGATCTACTGCTGAAATGTCAACCATGTGCCTGTACAAAATAGCCTCAAGCTTCCTATATGCAAGTCTTCCTTTTAAAATAACTATGATAATTGCTATCTGTTTAATAATATCTCATAACCGGCTGTGTAAAACATTAATGTGACCATCACACCAAAATATTCTGACAACAAAGCAAATATCAAAAGGCATTAATAGTCTGTTTAAAACTGCACTTGTACCCCTTAAGTTTATACAAATAAAACCAAAAAAGGGGGAGAAAAAACTGTTAAATAATTACATTTTGCCAAGCACAATGGCTCACACCTATTAAACACAGCACTTTGGGAGGTTGAGGCAGAAGGATCACATGAAGCTAGGAGTTCAAGGCCAGCCTTGGCAACCTGGTGGGACCCCCACCCATCTTTAAAAAAAATTAGCTGGGTACAGTCATGCACCTATTGTTCCAGTTATTCAGGAGGCTGAAGCGAAAGGATCCCTTGAGTCCAGGAGATTGAGGCTATAGTGAGCTATAATTGTATCACTGCACTTCAGCCTGGGAAATAGAGTAATCTATCTCTTAAAAAATAAAAAAGTCAATCAGTAAAACACTAATAATAACAATTTATTATTAGTGTTATGTATATAAACAATGTAAAGACATTAAAGTATGTAAAATTTACGTATGTAAAAACAATGTAAAGACATTAAAGAACCATGGGAACAGATGATGACACTCTAGATGATCTACTGCTGAAATGTCACCCATGTGGCTGTATAAAATAGCCTCAAGCTTCCTATATGCAGGTCTTCCTCTTAAAATAAATTTAATAATATATTATTATTTCCTAGGCTACAAACCTCTATAGCATATTACTGTACTGAATACTGGAGATAATTGTAACACAGTGGTGGGTATTTGTATACATAAACATATCTAAACAAGTCGGGGTGGTGACATGGTGGTGCCCTGTTTCTAAAAACATATATATGTATATATAAACATAGAAACGGTACATAAAATAATACATATTATAATCTTATGGGACCACTGTTGTATATGTGGACCACTGTTGACTGAAACATTGCTATGTGGCACATAATAAATAACTGCTATGTTTACCATTTATGACTAATTTAGGTTGTCTTTGCAAACCCTGACTGTCTTTTTTGGTCACATAAATGTTTGATTTCTAAAAACCGTCATGGTAAATGAATCAACTGCTGAGAAAATTAAGATCTTATAGGAAAAAAGTGAAAGCCATTAAAAATATTTTAGGTCATAAAAATAAACAATTAAAACAGCAGGATAAATTAAGGCAATATCAACAGCATTTCCCACTTAAATTATAGTGAGGACTATATTATTAATTTCCATTTCCCCTCACTTGCTTTTCAGAAACCTTTCAGAATCCCTTCTCAGGCACCCACTCCCAACCTCAGCAGTTTCAGCAATGGAGATAATGCCTGAAAATATATTTTGCATACAGATCATACACTCTGATAATTTTATACGCCAACCTGGCTAGGCTATAATACCCAGTTATTTAATCAAATACTAATTCAGGCATTGCTGTGAAGGTATTGTATAGACGTGGTTAACATCTACAGCCAGCCAACTTTAAGTAAGAAGATCACTCTTCATACCATATGTGGCCCCCATGCAATCTGCCAAAGCCTTAAGGGCAAAGCTTGAGATAGCCCAGAGAAGCAATTCTATCTCAAATCCATAGTATCAACCCTTATCTGTGTTTATAGCCTGGAAGATTGCTCTATGGATTTCAAACTTTCCACCCCTGTCATAGCATAAGACAATGTCTTGAAATAAATATATATATATATAATATAAAATATCCTTCGTGCTATTTCTTTGCAAACCCTGACTGATATACACAGAGAGAGTTTCCATGTACAGGTCTCTACTCCAGTTTTCCAGTCTTTTCTGATTTCATGATTCCTGGCTCTCTCAGCCCCACCTACACATACTTCAGCTCTTACCCTCCTCACAGAAACCATCAAATACAGTCTTGTGCCGCATAGCAATTTTTCAGTCAACAGTGGTCCCATAAGATTATAATAGCATATTTTTAATGTACCCTTTCTATGTTTATATATATATATATATATATATATGTTTTTAGAAACAGGGCACCACCATGCTACCACCCTGACTTGTTTAGATATGTTTACATATACAAATGCCCACCACTGTGTTACAATTGTCTTCAGTATTCAGTACAGTAGCATGCTATACAGGTTTGTAGCCTAGGAGCAATACCATATGGAATAGGTGTGAGTAAGTATGCTTGTTGATGTTCACCTACAGACAAATTTCTCAGAACGAATATTAGCATGACTATGTCGCTATTGGGAATGAGTTTTCCAAATTTTTGTTTCAACAGACTCTACACTTCTACTTTACTATTTCGATCCCTCAGGCCCTTCTTCTAATAACTAAAAAAATAACAGCAAGAAATATAACTGGCATAAACTAGGATGAAATTTCACATAATATACACTTGTATACACAGATCTCTGCATAAGGGAAACTTCAGATTGCAAAAAGAGTATCTACAATGTCAGAGCTCTTTAACCATGTTTTTAAGGTAAGATACATTTCAAAGTAGGACTTTTGTTCTAACATGAAATTCAGAAATTTGTCTATACAGTTATAACTTTAATTAGAAAATAAAAATTAAAAGAAAGGCACAATTTCATTTACAGAAATCAAATTATAATCCAATGTGTACATAACAGACTTATTTTTCAATGATGAACTATAAACTTTAGAGTGCTAAATGAATTGTCTAGTAAGATATTTCAACAATTTGATTTCGCTCAAAAAATGCTGAACTTTCAATTTAATTATGTTATTTAAAATTAGAACATTTCAATACTTAAGTAGTCAAGGTGAATCAAAATCAATTAACACAGCCTCATAAATGCATTAAATAGTACAAAAGAAGCATATTTTTAGCATTAAAAATAAAAGCCACACCCTCACCTCCCACATCAACCTGTAATCCATGTTTTCATCCAAGTCTTCAGGCATCCTCTTCTCTCCAGCAAAGGGTCCAAACTTTTCACCCTGAGTAGCAATAAATTTATTGGAAAAGGATTAATACAATAATCAAGTTACTACTACAATAAAACATTTTTTCTTCTGGAATCTTTTTCCTCCAAATCTTCACGCTAACAATTGAGATCCTTTTAAAATATTACCTAATTTGCCCAACACAAAATATTTACATATTTTAAATCCAACTTAGCCTGTTTTTAGCCTGAGACAATGAATCCACAACATAAGAGTCAACATGAAAGGGTTAAATTACTTCATTTTCAAATCCTGACATGGCAAAGAACATTGTACTTCAAATGTTTTAATCCTCTTCACAGCCCTGAGTAAGTGGTCTTGAAAAGAGCACTGAGTTTTGCCTGGTTTGAGAGACAAGCCCACCAGGCAGAAAATCACCTGTTTTCCATAAAAATCATAAAATCATCCCTATTATGAACAAGAAAGAAGTAGGTTTGCCATTCTCAGAGGAAGTCCATTCATAAATAAACTTAAATCCGCCTGCCAATCTTTCAAACACCCAAGGGGGCACATTTTAAACCAGAGTTTTGTGTAAGAAGTGTGTGCTTTGAAACCCACCTGCGCAAGAGTCCCCTGCATTGCTAGTTTCAGATACAGAATCCTGGGCTTTGTTCAAACCAGAATCTGGTAGTGGGGTGTCGGAGCTGCATTTTGACAAAATGCCCAGGTGAGAACCACTGGCATTGCCCCTGCATGTGTAACCCATGAGTGACTGTCTCTGAGGTCTCTTTTTTTCCTAAGGTGACCAGTGCAAGGACTGCAGAAACGGAGGGAGACGACCATGTTTGTCCAACCAACCTTTATGTAGACATGTGTGCAGAGAAGGTACAGAGTCACCCATACCTCAACCTACAAATGATTCTTGTTCAACAGAATCCTCCCCTTCACATGGGGGTGATGGAAGAAAAAACCAACAAAATCTCCAGAGGAACTTTTGATGAATACCGTTAAGGGGAAAAGATAACCACCAATGAATATTTCAAGGAGTATAAATTACTTAATGAACAACAAGAAAATTCAACTCCTGGGAATAGTAAAATTTTAAAGCTATTACAAATAGCTAACCCAGACTTCTCATTTTACAGATGAAGAAAAAGGTCCTGAGAAGTCATAAATAATGGCAGAGCCAGGAATACCATTTCTCTAATGTTAACGTAGGAGCAGAAAATATCCATAGAGATTCCTCAAGTCAAGACTGTAACCGTAGGTAACTTAAACACTGAGTAGCAAAGAAACAGGGAGACTGCTGACTACTTACACCAACACAAGAGATATTAATACAAAGCTTAGAGAGCACATTTAGAAGCTGGAAGCCCGCTCTGCCCTACAATCCTTTCATGCCTCATGAGCCACTTCATGCCAATAGGCACTCAACATCACATCTCGTGCAGACCCAACAGCCCCAAAGATGATTTCTTTAGTATGTAATTACTTCTCTCCTCAAGACAGAACCAAGCCAGTATTTGATGGCAGGTAAGAAAAGCTCCACAAGAAATGAAAGAACAGGGGAGTAGAATGAATACTGAACTACTATGTGCCACACTCCAAATAATCCTATGTGGGAGTCTCACTACTCAACAACTAAGAAAATAGAATTTCAAAGAGTTTATATTTAATCTCTTGCTTGATTAAGGTCAACCAGTCAGCAATTACCAGAGATAGGATTAGGAAGCAAGGGTTTACTCTGGAGAGCTCAGGCTATGTCTACTCTATCAGGCCACCCTCAAAACCTGACAGATGGCTGCATAGCCTGCTACTGTGGCCACCTGGTGCCACCTTGCTCAGCTGTCCACTGACCACAGTTTAGCAATGGCCTGAGCTATGCCTTACTCAGCATAGACACTCAATATGTAGACTATCAAACTGAAGAAACTGAGTTAACTTTTGTAAAAGTCAAACTAGAAAACAGATCAAAAAGTAAGGTATGTTTTTTTTTAATAAATTTGAGAATTTGATATTAATGTATGTGGTTCAACTTACAGTTCACTGTCATATATTTTGCCTTTATCAACCATTGCAGAAGATAAAAATAATCTGAGTACACTTTCCAATTCAAATGATCTACCCAAGTCAGTCAGTTTCTCCATGCAGTACAAATTTGGAGAAAAACAAATGAATCTATCAATTCAGTAGTGTACAAAGGACTGAGAAAGAAGGAATAAAAACCTACATAAATAATCCAGGATTGGGGGTGGGGGAGAACCTGCCTGGATGCCAGCCTAGTACAATTATTAAAGGACTTAAAGTTTTGAAAATTCAAACTAAGAACCAGAACACTAACGGTTAAGCTTCACCATGAATAGTGAAAAATTACTCTCTATAAGAAACTCAAGCCACCACATTATAATAAATAGTGGCTTTCAATTTTTTTCCTCAACTCTTAGTAAGAAATATCTTGAATCTCAACCTAGCACATTCACAAATACACACAGAAATACAAACATATACAGCTAAAATACTGTGCCTGGGCAACATAGAAAGACCTCATCTCTACAAAAAACATTTTAAAAATTAGCCGGACATGGTGGTGCATGTAGTCCCATCTACCTGGGAGGCTGAGACAGGAGGATCACTTGAGCCCAGGAGGTCAAGGCTGCAGTGAGTTATGATCACACCACTGTACTCCTTGAACAACTCCCTACTGACAAGGCAGTGGGGAATCCCCAGAAGCATGAAGCATAGTGCCCTAAGAAAAAATCTAGTTAAACAGCAACTTTTCAAGTAAGCTTAAGGGTTAAGCAATAAGAATCAAAATTTGTGATCATCAGCTTGTAGCCCACAAATCTGAACTTAAGAAACAGTTTGCTTAATTATCATTTGTGAACACTGTATAACATTATTAGAGAAGGTGTTTGCTGTTTGTCAACGGTATTAAAAAATACTGACATGAAACACCAATAGAGGAGAGGCAAATTTATAAGTATATTTAGCTCTCTGGCTTTGATGAAATTTCCTCAAAGTACTTTAGTGAGTGTATTAGAATAATTTGATCAAATAAATTCGAGTTTATGTTGCAAGATTATAAAAATATAAATAACTAGCTCTCAGTTTTCCATACTACTTGTGGTGAGAGACAATGTAGATATTAAAAACACAGTTTATATTTGGCTTTAGATGAAGATTTTATACTTACTAGATCCAGTTTCACTATAAAGCCTTCCCTAAAGATTTCAGCACGTTATCTAATCTTTCTCTAACTCTTCATTCATTGTTGTCTATCATACAACAGCACTTTCCTAAAATTGTAATTATAATTTCTGTTTTATTTGCAAGTCATTTCTTAAGGAGATTCTAACTTAAGCATAAGCCTCTTCTACCACAATGGGTTTCAAATGGGGCACACACCCCACATATATGTAATTATTTTCTCTTTTGTGGAATCATATGAACTTGCCAATTTTGATGATTTTAGACCTACAAAATGAACATTTTTCATATGATTCATCATAATAAATTACATGCATGTGCATTAGTATATTCAACACCTAAGGGAGGGTAGTAGGAAAGAAACTAACATATTTCAAACAATCGTCTTGAAAACTTCAGAAGTTTCTGACTGACTTCCTGCCATAATTAGTTTTACTTTTTGTAATAAAGCTGCTGAAGATCTCACACTAAGCATCTGGAAAACTGTCAGCTCTTCCAATTCCTTGATGTTCATGTGTGCCTACATTATTGATATTATCTTCAACTCGGGATTTATTTTCAAGAAGTTTCCTAGAATTCTTCACTTTTATTTCCAGTGTTACCATCTCAAATGTTTACAAGTTAGGCAGTAAGACAAGACAACATTAGACACCCAACATATATATAAATGAAAAGTAGAGAGGGGCCAGGAGGTGTGCAGTTGAATGCTGCTATATCACTATGCGGATCCAAAGTTGCCAGACACATGTGATCATTTTAGAGAAGCTGATAACTCAAATTTGCATGTGAAATCAAATCTTTTCTATATTGGTAAGGAATTCCACATTTTCAAAACCCTGTAAAGTCATATAAAATGTGACTTCAAGGTAAATTCCACCTGTCACAACAAACTGAATCAAACTCATTTCTCAAACTAATCTAATGTCCAGCCTACCATATGGCACTTATTTGTTTTTATTCAAACTGTTTCTAAACAAAGCAGGTAATTAATTTATTCAAACTGCTACTCACTAGACAATAACTTTTAATAAGCAACAACAAAAAAAATGACTGCAAAAATGTGGGCCATTTTCTCTCATTATATCTAATATTATTAGTAAGAAGTTGAAAACCAACATCTTTCTTAGAATTGTGGGAAAAGCACTAGCTGGGGCTTTGAGAGACTTGGATCCTAAGTCCAGCTTTACTGTTAAATAGCTGTGACACATTATGATGGTACAAACCTTTTAAGTCTCAGTTTTCTCATCTATAAAACTTAAGGAATTGGATTTGTTGATTCTAAGATTACCTCCAGCTTTAAGTTCCATGAAAGAGAGCTTCCACAGGCCAAACTTACTTTGAAAATCAAAGAAAATGAGAGTATAATTGATTGAAACACATTATCAAATTCATACATCCATAATGACTGCCAGAGAGGGAAAGAAAAAGGAAATTTTAAAAAAAAACACCTGATTTGCCATCATCAGAGGATAGTAACTTATTATTAAAATTAGTAAAGGAAAAGAATTAAGTATTTTGTCCTGCCTTTTCAAGAGTAGCTGTAGTTCAGAATAACCAGACAGCAGCAATTGGTGATGACAAGCTCTTCTTTACAAGGGAATGCTTACTTATAAATAAAGGGGGAATGTTTGAGATAGCAAATCACCATTTTGAAATCTCTAATAATATAACCGATTTCAGGCAAGGATTCTCCATGGATGCTAAAACCATTAACCCCAAGGTTGATGGTGAAAAAGATATCCACACAGTATCAGTTCACAGATTACTTGCCAAGCACAAGGAAAAACAATACCTTTACAAAAGAAAAGTTACCTTCACTCAATGTTGGCATCACTAACAGTGGAAAAGTCAGACATCATATGCCCCTTACTATGAGGTTGTACAGAGTAAACCTGCATCACTCCATGATGTATCCTTGCCAAAAATATTTACACCTAACTTCCAAATTACAGAAAATACCCAAAATAGAGAAACAAGTTAAATAAAGCCCTGGGAAAACAATCAGATAAATCCATATGTAAGATACTCTACAAACAGCTGGCCTGCTCTCTTCAGAGAGCCATTGTTATTAAAATTGGGGAGCAGGGGGAGGGATTAAAAGAGAGATTTCACAGACATGACTAAATGTAATATGTGGCCCTTGATTGGATCCTGGTTCAAAAATAAACAGCTATAAAAATATCGTGGAGGAAAATGGAGTAATTTAAATATGGGTTGGTATTAGAGGACATTAGGAAATTACTGTTGCTTGTAATGAGATAGTTATTTAGAAGGATGCTCTTATGCTGAAGTATTGGGGGTGAGTTGTCAAAATGTCTGTAATTTACTTTGAAATGGTTCAGCAAATAAAAAATATGCATACAAATGAAATAAATTATATTAAAGTGAATCAGTCTGCAGTTGAATCCTTTATATTTGAAATAATAATTTTTCACAGAAGGAGTCTAGAGTTCCCACTTTGAACATAATTATGTTTCAGTGTTAAACGGCTGTGCATGTGTGTGCCCTTGCAATTGCCTAATGCCTTCAACAATGGATTAAATACATTTCTTAAAAGTTCAATATGAAAATATCCAATCTTCCTTCCCTACTGTGAATACTGGGGCAAACTAACTGCCTCCCTGTACCCACTGTCC